TTGTTTCTTACAGAAAGCGGTCTGTCGTTTTCATATGCCAAAACAAGTGTAGGGAGATATTTCGTATTGTATTTTTTATTACATGTGATGTTCTGAACTCTTAAAAATACTCGCATCTTCTTTTATTTTTTTCAGACCTGAAAAATGGCCAGGCCTAAACAGCCAGGCCTCAGACCACGGTGCCGAGGCGCTCTGACGGAGTCCACCAGGACGAAGAGAAATTCAGTAAGTTATGATTTCACATTTAGTCAATAGTGAACACTGGCATATTTGTAAGGAAAACTGAACTTCCCGTTATTTTATTTAATTTGTTATAACGCAGTACAGCAAGGCAGACTGTGGAAAGCAGTAGAGATCGACAACATGGCGGACGGAGGACGGATTTGAGGAGTCATGAAGCCGGTATGTATTATGTATAATCACTGCGTTGATTCCCGATTGTACAATGGCTGGTTGAGAATAATTTTAACTTATTTACTTATGTATTTTTGAGAAAGCGATATATTTGCTACAATATATTTTTTAAATTTTACATTTATTTCCACAGACTCCACAGAATGGGAGTCACATTTGTGTCAATCAGACTCTTCAGGAACGTCCTGATATCCGTGACGAGGACAGAGATGCAACTGTGTGTGAGTATCTACTATTTTAGAATGTTGATATTTTATTCTTCAATATTGTTTATGTACATAATGTAATTATGTACATGACAATGCACAAAAATGTTTTCCAGCTGCATCCAGGACCTACTGCCAGTCTTCCGGATGTAGCTAAAGAAAGAAGCAGGTAAGATTTATTACTAATCTAGAGATGTCACAATTCCTTGAATGATTAAAGCACTGTGATTTATTAAAATCCATCAAAGCAAATTATCTGCCTCAGAGTTTGTTGAACTATGTTTTACTATTTATTACCAACTGCTTTTAATTATTTTTTCTTCCAATTGTTTCCAAGTGTTTTCTCTTTTTCATTAAAGTTTTTATTTTTTGTAAGAATGTATTAATGTGTTTTTTTTTGTTTGTTTGTTTTAATGTCTTATGTGTGCATACTAAGCTGGAAGTTGCCAAACAATTTCACTGTAGTTTCATAATGACTAAAAGATGCCTGTAGTTCATAATGATTGTCTGTTCTGTATTAACAGCTGATGGAGGAAGGCAGAGAGTACTGGCAGCAGAGGAGGTGGCATTCTGAGAGGATGGCAGCTATGAGGCGGTGTCAGGATAGACCCCAAGTTCCTCCATCCAGGAGCTCAGTGACATCAGGACTACAAGACAGGAAGAGACGTCAGGTCTATGCTACAGGAGAGATGTTGGGCCTGTCCTGAACGCAGCATAATGTTTGATCATGTTTGGACAAAAAAACACTGCCAGATGGTCCAGAAATGGACAAGCATTTATGTCTTATTTTGTGTGCAAACAGTAAAAAAATTAAATGAAATAAAGAGAAAAAACAAACTTCTGTGCCTCTTTTATGTTCCTCATATATGAACATGTTGCATATAAGCAATATCAAATGCTTATACAATACAGCATTTATTTTTATATAGATTTTTTAAAATACAGCATTAAAAATATTAATGATTGGGGCGGGGTTTACTTGTAAAGACAAGTGCTGTCCAGTGGGCACACATCAACCAACCAATCACATGTCAATGATCTGTGATGTCATTGTTTTTCATCCAATGACTGAGAATCCACGTGGGTCTGCTGAAGCGCCTTTGCATATG